CCTCCGCCTGGGGCAAAGAGCGGCGACCCGGCACCCCAGGCGCCCCCGCGCAGGGAGCGCGGGAGGAAGGGAAGAGCCAGTGTAGAGGAGAGGCCTCAGAGCAAAGCACCTGGGAGAAACGGGTCAGTGTGGAAGGCGCTGTGAATTTCACGGGCTGTGGGAAGTTTGTGGGCTAGACAAGTGCGTGTTTCGTGAGTTTCTGCGCAAGACTGTCTTTGAAAGGACAACCAGGAAACATTTTATTCTTCAGGAGAAAAAGAGTAGGCCCATTTTTTTGTCTCATTCCCCTTTTTCTTTTCCCCATACCCCTCCCACTTCCATTTCCCCTTTGCACTTTTTCTACTTAATTCACATTCTCTATTATACCTTTTTGGACTGTTTTACACTTTCAGTTTCTCACACTAGAGAAACTATTTAGTATTTACACGTGTGTCCTATTTATTTCACTTAAGAGTATCGCCTCAGTGTACTCAAAGTCTTCGTACTTAGGGAGGGGTGGAGGGGTTGAAGGGAGGGCAGGGGAATGGGGGAAAAAATAAGAACCAAGGTGAATTGTGTACAGGTGCAAATTTCCAATAATGAATGTCATTATATTGTATACCTTAAATGCGCCAATCAAATTAATTAAAAACTAAAAAAGAGTAGACCCAGCAGACGGATTTTTATCCGGTGCACTCCTTCCTTCATGCCTAAGGTGGCAAGCTAACTGGCCTGGTAGGTGAAAGAGCACAAAGGGTAGGAGGAAGCAAGCAGGCTGAGAGAGCTCTAAAAGCAAGGCTGCTTTTCTCCTCTAAATGCCCATTGCCCTTATACAAGATTTCAGACCTGATTTTGCTGGATTTTCTTGTTTTTCAAGAAATGACAGAAATTTAGATTTTTTTTTCATGTAAAATATCCCGGTTATTAAATCTCGATAACAAATTCAATTTTTGCAAGACACTCTGGACCAAACAAAACACGTCTGGGTCCCTTCCCTGTTCAACCAACGGGAGTAAATAAACTCTGCATTCTTTTTGTGAAAAGGTGCTGAGTGCCCACTGTACTGTAGGAAGGCCCTGGAAAGGATCCAAGATGATTCAGACTGTCTTCAAAATACTAAGGGAAATAGGTTTTCCTGGCAGAAGTGAACTACTGATAGATGCTGGAGCGTTTCAAGAAGAGAGAGGCAGCTAATGTAGAAAGAGGTCCTGAAAACTAACTTTGGGGAAACATCATTGTAAAAGTAACTGAGTGGAAGTCTTTGCAAGACTAGTTACAGAACTCCTGAGAGATATTTTAGAGTCTGAAGCAAAAGGAAGTATCAGTAACACTGATTCTGTCTTTATTTGAAACTTTGGTTTTTATTTATTATGTATTTTGAGCTAATTTTAGTTTTTAATTTTAAATATTGCACTAAAATATTAATTTTAATTACCAAGCTCTTTGGCAAACCCTTAAATTTTGTGTCCTTCCTCACCCTATGGTGGCCCTGCTTAGTTGGAGTAAAAGTAGCAAGAATTGGTACACTGAAAAGGAAAGAGGATTGGAGGGTGGATGGGCTGAGATGGAGGACCTGGCTGCCAGTCCATGAGCATGTGCCTGATTTTGTAGGTTGTGTAAGAGCCAGCAGAGAGGCTGTTGCAGGAGAGGGGCATAATCCATAGTGGACTCTGGGAAGGTAGGCCATGCAGTAGAGTTAGGAAGGTAATTTGGAGGAGGAAAATAAAAGCAATGGGGAGACCTAGGGCACATGTACTATTTTATGAAAATTGAAGGGATTTTCCTGATAAAGTCATGTGTACACTACTTATCTTTGGAGAGACATGTATGAGGCTAGCTTCATACCAATAGGTAGGGCTGCACATCCTGGCCTAACCCCAGACATTTCCTAGCCAGGTTTAGAGGTGGTCAAGTGGCTCTAGCTGTAAGTTTCAGAATTCTCATGATATTTATGTGATGACTTAGAGAAATAGTGTATGTCTAATGTTTTTAAAGCAAGAATGTAAGGAAATAGGAATCATTAGTATTTTTACGTCATCTCTACCAAATCTGAATTGAAATAAAGATATCCTGTGATTTTATACAAGTTGTCTTAAGTATCAAGCTTAATCAATTTTTCAGGCTCTTTATTTGTGTTGGGATGTTGTTTATAAAACTTGGGAATCAGATTTTGGGTAATTCAACAATTTTGTCAAGTAAGTCATTCCTGTACTACACCAGTTTCTATTGCCAATAATCCTCTTCTTCCTTACCACCTTCCTTTTTAAAAATCTTCCCTTTCAACTTTCTTTCCTCCATACTGAAGATTTAGTCAAGACCAGTTTGCCATCCATACAAAGTACCCTCTAACTCAAGGCAGTTCATCTGTGCAGTTTTTGCCTCAGCTGAACACCTGGGACCCACCTCAGTGCTATATTGTGAATGATTCTCCCTGCAGATAAACACTAGTTACGTTCACATAGAGCAGGCCACCGTTTATCTGTGGGAAGCATTTTAAGCATGCAGAACTCTACTCTCAAAGAAAAAAGAAGTGCTTGGATGTTTACACAAGAAGCCTTCCAAAAGTTATGGCAAGAGGAAGTACCTAGCCAGGACCTATCACATAACAGGTAGTTACAAATATTTACAGAATAAATAACAATTCCCATCATCAAAATCTTCTTTGTCTCTGTTCTGCCTCCCACAGTTCCTAAGAATTATTATTTTAAAAAATCACAATAATGGTAAGGTCACCAGAAAAGAACAAGAACAGGATGTAAACATTTATACAGGGAGGGGTTCTGTGCTTTCATGAGCAAAATGTTTGTCTGCTTACATCTTATTGTGGTATTTTTTTAAGCTATGGTGCCCCAGGCCTGCTCAGCTCAATGGTAGAACATCTGCCTAGCACACAGAAGGCCTGGGCTCGCATGTCTAGAGTGAAAAGGAAGGAGGAGGAAAGGATGAGGAGGAAAAGGAGAAGGAGGAAGACAGAAAAATCATGGCGAAAGAGATGAAGAAGAGAACAAGCGTGGGGAAGAAAGCAAGGAAGGAAGAAAGAGAAAGAGAAAGAAAAAAAGAAAGGGGAAAAAGAGAAGGAAGAAAGGAAGGCATGAGAATGAATTCTACTAGTAAGTGAAAGCAAAAATATATTAAGGAAGAGAAGAAAGTATCCATCATTCTATATGTTATAATTGCTTCCCACCTTCTTTATTCAAATTTATGGATTCTTTTAATATTTTGGGCTTTGTTTTGCTTTTTCACAGTAAATCTCTTAGTAATAGCAACAAGGATCCCCAGGCTAGTGATAGGTCCGTAGTTGTTGCATGCATGCAGCAGCATAAATTGAAAATGAAACTTGTTACTTGTAATGACACTGATATCATGAGATCTGGGAGACCTGCAGAATTCTGATGCTTATGGAGCTTATGCTTGTTTACCACTCAGTTAGCCTTGGTCTGTGATTTTATTATTTACTTAAATATTCTAACTGATTTATAACTGGAATCCACCTTCTTTTTTCAATGAATGATCATGGTACTGTATCCTGTTGCTGGTTCTCAAGCAGATGTTTTCTTTCTTTTTCTTCTATGCTTTTAAATATTAATCTTGTGTACTAGGAACAAGTCGTGGGGGTCTTCAATTTGCCCCACCCAATGCCTGGCACAAAAGCAGAAGCCAATGACAAGTGACAATTACAACTTGTGACCATTTGGGTGAATCATCTAGAACAGGTGACTGTTCATTTTAGAGATAAGAAACTTGACATTTAGAACACACACATACATAAATGTACAATAGTATCTGCAATAAGTTTTACACTAGAAGATACATTGTGCTATTTAAAGCAGAGGGCAGAAATAGAAGACAAAGGAAAAAGACTTTTTGAAAAAAAAGAATGATTAAACTGAGGTCTGCAGGATAGCTCTGAAGTAGGGGAAAAAAGAATCAAAGAAAGAAAGCAGCATGGAGAAGGCAACTGTGTTGGGAGGATATACATAAAGGTTGAAAGGAATCTTAAAGGCCTTAAAAGTTTAACCTGTCACCAGCCCCACAGACTTCATAGTGTAACTCGGTGTCTAATGAGAACAGCTGCCATGCAGAAACAAACAGTCCCTGGCAAGAGACCTCAAACAATCTGGTGTGAAGAAGTGGTATGCCATGGTAGGAAGGGTATGTACTTTATATTAGAAATAACTGGGTCTGAAGCTATTTCAACTCCTTACTTTAGGAGTTGAACTTAGGCAAACTATACAGCTTATTTTACTATAAGATTTCTTATTTCTAAAATATGCAAACCAATATGTTAACTCAATACCTGAACCACAGCAAAATGCTGAATAAATATTTTTACTCTCATCCCACTTGGTAACTTTAAACAAAAAATGGAAGGAAGGAGCAAGCTTCTTTCTAATCCAAGCTATTTCCTAGAAGCACTGTATCCACCATAGGCAATCATAGTTTATCCCCACAAATGCAAGACAGCATCACTGTTTTTACAAAAACAGGCTTAAAAAAAGTTTCACCTTCTCATGTCCAGATGGCCTACTACTATATTTACAAAGAAAAGGCCACAGAGGTAGGTTAATAATTTAGATATTTTAGCATATGTGTTTATTAAAATTTACAAAGAAATTTTATCTATACCATAAATTAATCTCCAATAGTGACTAGTTCTAAATTTTGATCATAAAAAGCTTAGTACAGCTCTACTATCCTTATTTTTTACATAGCTTAAATTAAAAGTGTTAGAGAATTATATCTAGCAGAAAAATCAAAATATACATAAAATGTTTGAACCCCCATCTGCTGCAGCATGGCTTCTACAATAACACGGACATGGATTGTAGTAAGTTCAGAGTTTGGAAGATGGAACTATCCTAATTTCTGTTTCCTTTATTTCAGCAATATTTTTCAAAGACCTATTTTTGGCTTCAAGTGACTCCATCTCCACCAAGATCCAGAAAAGCTGCTAGGCTTTCAGCTAACAAAGAATTCCTTATTCTTCCAGGACACAAGTGAGCCAGTGATCACACAGTTAGCATCTCATCCTGAGTTTCTGTGCTGCTGGTTTAGAGATGATAGAAATGATATGATCCAGCCACAATCTGAGGCATAGAGATCTCCTGTATTACACATGGCATCTCTCATCTCTCCTCTTCTT